TCCAGGCCACACTGTACCTTCCCAAATCACCCAGGGCCAGGTACCAGACAACCAGGGAAAGGCCCTATGCTCCAGAGCCCTCTGAAACTATTCAAACTAGCTGATCCTAAGTCTGCTTACTCTGCCTTGCCTGTTTCTTCCTGCAGAAACCACAATAAATGCTCTTGCCCACACCTTTCCCCTCTCCCTCTGGCTCCCGGCCAACCTTGGTGCTTTCCCAGGTGCTCCCGCCACACCACCACCATGGCATGGTATGCCCCGTCCTCCTCGGAACAAGATAACAAGCTATCTTTTCAACAGCAATTGTATCCTGACCTGTTTTCCTTGCTATATCTAAATAATAATAAAACATATTAAGACATATCTATATCTGCTATATCGGCTATTTATGATATCAGAAGCCGATATGTATATCATATGAAATGCACATTAGTACATGCAGATATTCTTGGTCCTCAGTCTGGGTTCCTGGAGGCAGGGCATGACCAAGCTGGCCTGAGCCAGCGGTCACTGGCTGAGAACTGAGACTCTCCTGTCACGGATTCCACATGTGGTCAAGAGGAAGATAGGAGGGTTCAAGCCCCACTCACATCCTGAGGATGACAAATGGGGCGGGATGTTTCTTTGGAGGAAGTGAGCAATCAACTTCCTATCTGATCACCTGCCAACATAAAAGGGCAAGCCCAGGTTTGGGTCTGTATGGCTTCTCTGCCAGGCTTCATGGAGAGCCTTCCATTAGAGAAGGGAGTGAACAGAAGTGACTGATGGGATTGGTGTTTACTGCTGCTGGCCGACCTGTACGGATGCCAAATGGGTGCCTGTAGCTGAGTCATTGCACATGGTCTCCATGCTCTGGTGGTGATTGCTCTGTAGCTCTGGCCAGTTAGTTAGACCAAGGCTAGAAATATGAGAGTGGGAAGTGCTCCACGTAGGATTCCTAGGCATAGGTACTGCTAATTAGTTCTGCTTGTTAACACTGTGATGTTGAGGATTCCTTCCTGGGCCTTATTCTTCTCATCTGTAAAATGGCCATAGCAGTCTTATTTCCTGATCCAGAGAATTCTGTGAAGATTGACCTCCCCAATGCACAGAAGTTTCGATAAAGAGCAAAACAAAATGAAATTGAACAAAAATGTCAGCAAGCACCATAATTAATGGTGAACTATTGATAGCTTTCCTTCTGAGATCAGGAATGAGACAAGGATGCCTGCTATTATTACTTCTTTCCATTGTATTGGAAATACTAGCCAGTGCAACATGGCAAGAAAAAGAAAATGTGTAAGGTTTAAAAAGGGAAAACTAAAATTTACTTTTACAGATTAGATAGAATATGGTATTTTTTTTAAAAAGCCAAGGAATCTACATATAAATTGTCAGGATAAGTGAGTGTGGTAATATTGCTGGATATAAGGGCATTGTATAAATATCTACTTCTATATATGTTTCAGATCTGTATTGCTGAGTAACAAATCACCCCAAAACTTTATGGCTTAAAATAACAATAACCTAATGGTTTCTGTGCATTTTGGATTCAGGAAGGTCTCAGGTGGATATTTCAGGGGTTTTCATATGATTTGCTGTTAGACAGTGGATGGAGCTGGAACAGCAGGGGGTGGTCCAACAGGGGACTGGCTAGTCATCTTAGTTTCTTTTAATCTCAGGGTCTCTGCATATGGGTTCTTTGTGTGGGTTACTTTAGACTTCTTCAAAGTGCAGCAGCCTAGGACTTTCACATTGTGGATTAGGGTTCCAAAGACAAAGAGAGGGTCCTAAGAGAGGGAGCCAGGAAGAAGATGGATCAACTTTCATGACCTGGACTCAGAAGCCATACAGAATAACTTCTACATCTTATTTGTTAAAAGCCATTCACTAGGACCAACCCACTTAAAGGGGAAGGTTACTAGACTACACCCCTTGGGAGGAGTGTCAAAGAATTTGTTGACTTGTTTTAAAATCACTACATTGTCCTGGCAACAAACAGAAAATTTAAAAAGCATGTAAAGAAACTATAATAGCATTAAAAACATAAAAAGCCTAGGAATAAATCTAATAAACAATGGGCAAGTTCTCTATGTAGGAAACTACAAAACATCAATGAGAGAATTTTTAAAAATCTAAATAAATGAAGGGACATACCATGTTTATGGATAGCAAGGCAATATTGAAAATGCCAATTTTACCCAAATTTATCTAAAGATTCAATGTGATAGCAGTAAAAATCCCAGCACCATAGTGTGTGTGTGTGTGTGTGTGTGTGTGTGTGTGTAAACAGGTTGATTTAAAAATTTCTATGTTAGTGCAAATGTCAAGCATTTCCAAAGCAGTCTTGAAGATAAAAGTGAGTAGACTTAATCTATGGGACACTGAAACTTATTATAAAGCTGCAGAAATTCAGGCAATGTGATAATGGCATGAGAGAAAAATAGGCTTGCAGAACAGACTAGAGAATTCAGAAACAGTCCCATGCACATAAGGATAACTTGATTTATGACAAAGTTAACATTGCAGAGAGTGGGGAAAAGGTGATCTTTTCAATAAATAGTGCTAGGTCAGTTGGATATCAGATGGAAAAAAAAGGAGAGGGGACAGTGGGAAATTCCTTCTGATGAGATATAGCAGTGTGTTTCTAGAAACAATGACTGCTGACATTTATTTAGAAGTTCTTTCCTTTCTGAGCTGTAATTTCCCTCTGTTGTTTCTGAACCTTTAGCAAAAGCTTGTTTCGCACACCTATCTTGTATTAGTGGGCCTTTATGGTCACAAATAGTGGTCCTAGCTCGAGGCCAGGACCAGCAAAGCTCGAGCAGCAGTTGGGAGCTAAGTTCTAAGTTGGCTCTTGAGTGGGCAAAAGGCTCATTTTCTTTTCTCCAAAGAGCATCCCTGTCCTGTTGCCACCCAGGAATCCCATGCTGACCCACTTCTGCCTCCTGGCCACCTGGCCCTTCCCAGCCAGCCAGGTATCCCTGGTGTAGGAGAACCAGGAACCAGAGGGCAGTGGGGGAGCAGTCAGGGAGGAGAGAGACTGCTAGTCTACACAATTCTTGGATGAAAAGGGGAGGAGTAACAGGCCAGCTGCCAGCAGGTGGTATGAGAAGTGAGGTGGCTCTTTCAGCCATCTCTCTGCCTCAGCAGGGACCCCCCCATTTCCATCCTTCTCTCAATCCAGGACACTATGAAGTTGGAGGGACAGATTCTGGACTCCTCAGTACTTCAGTTTTAGCAATTTGTATGGCCCTCCCTCTCCCTGTCACTAAAGGGGGTGCGGTCCTCTGCCCCCTCCCAG